ATAATATAAATTAAGTTTCTTATTATTTTAACTACCTTTTAATAGATTAATTAAAAATAAGATAAATAATAAAAAATTATAAATAAATTATTAATAAAAATTATAAAATCTAAGAAAAACTTATACTTTATAAAAGTTTTTTAATAATAATTAAAAAATAATAATATCTACCTATTAAAAATTTATAGTAATATTTTAAAGGAATATTATATAATTAAAAAATTTAATCTAGATTTAGAAGAAAGAATATTTTAAAACTTTAATATATAAATTTATTTTTCTTAATTAACTCAGGACTTACTTAATATATTTAATATAATTAAATTTTATTATTAAAAAAATAAAAATATTATTTAAATAAATAATATAAATAATATTAAGAATATTATATAATATAAAATAAATATAATTTTAAAAAAAAATAAGAATATTAATTAGACTAAATAATATAATTAAATATTTAAAATAATTATAATATATTTAAAATATAGTTTTCTATTTATCTTTTTTCTTAATATAAATTTAATAATAAATATTTTATATATTAATTTTACTGAAATATTTATATCTTATAAAATAATTAAAAAGTTTTATAATAAATAAAAAAAAATAATAATTCTTAATTATAATCTTATTAAGATTATAATAATTTATATAAAAATATAAACTTTTATTTTTTTTAAATATAAGTAGAATAAGAGATCTTATAGGATTTTTAGATAATTAAATTTTTTTATTTTTTAAGTTTTTATTAATATATTACTTTAAAACTAATAATTTTTTTTTAAATAAAAGATAAATAAGTATAAGGATCAGGTGATCTTATAAGCCTGCCTCAGGCAGTTAATTATTTAATTAGGGTTAATAGGTCTATAATAACCTGATTCAGGCCTGAATCAGGGATTATAGATAATATTAGCTGATTAGCTATTATTTTAAATAAATCTTATTATTTTTTTCTTATAGTTTTATTTATAATTAATCTAGTTAAGAATTTAATCCGTGAAGAGATTAAATTCTTAATAAAATTAAGTAATTTTTTACTTAGTAATTAAATCTAATTAGACTTAGCTTAGTTTTACTTACTGAAAAGGGTTAGATTAGACTAAACTAATTAAGAAAATTAATTATAATAATTTAGAAGTAGAAAAGACTTTAAATAAGAATTAGAGCTAATATAAGACCTTTTATAGGGGTTTTAGCTAATCAGATATTATATAAGACTTTTTCGCGGGGACTTTAGTAGTTATATACTTACAGAAACCCTGCTTATAAAAAAAAAGAATAATTATAAGAATTAGATAATCTTATAAGCCTATTTTAGGTAGTTAATTACTTAATTAGGGTTAATAGATCTATAATGACCTGATTCAGGCCTAAATCAGGGATTATGGGTAATATTAACTGACTGGCTATTATTTTAAATAAATCTTATTGTTCCTTCCTTACAGTTTAGTTATAAGGATCAGGTGATTTTACAAGCCTGCCTCAGGCAGTTAATTACTTAATTAGGGTTAATGGGTCTATAATAGCCTAATTCAGGCCTAAATCAGGGATTATAAGTAATATTAGCTGACTAACTATTATTTTAAATAAATTCTATTATTTCTTTCTTATAGTTTTACTTATAATTAACCTGGTTAAGGATTTAATCCGTAGAGAGGTTAAATCCTTAATAAAATTAGATAATCTTTTACTTAGTAATTAAATCTGATTAGACTTAGTCTAGTTTTATTTATTAAAAAGGATTAAATCAGGCTAAACGAATTAAAAAAGTTAATTATTATAATTTAGGGGTAGAAAAGATTTAAAATAAGAATTAGAACTAGTATAAGATTTTTTATAGAAATCTTAGCTAATCAGATATTATATAAAATCTTTTTATAAGAACTTTAATAGTTATATATCTACAGAGATCCTACTTATAAAAGAAAAGAATAATTATAAAAATTAGATAATCTTACAAACCTGCCTTAAGTAGTTAATTACTTAATTAGGGTTAATAAATCTATAATAGCCTGATTTAGGCCTGAATCAGGGATTATAGGTAATGTTAACTGATTAGCTATTGTTTTAAATAAATCTTATTGTTCCTTCCTTACAATAAGATTAAACAGAAGTTTTCTATTATTAATAATAAAATTAATAGTATAATTATTTTTATAATAATTAAGTAATATTTTAAATTAATTAGAGAAAAAAATATTCTAAAAATCCTAAAGTTTTATTAGAATATTATTATTTTATAAGTATTCTAGTATTTTATTTTTTATAGATAATTATAACTTCTCTAGTAATTTAATTAAAATATATATATAAATATAGTTTTAATATATTTTAGTAAATTTTTAAAAATATAATTCTTATATATTATAAAACTTAAATTATTATATCTTATTTTATAGATTTAAATAGATTTTATAATTATTAATAATAATTATAGATAATAAAATAAAAATATTATTAGAATTATAATAAATTATTATATAAAATCTAGTAAACTATTATTAAGTTTTTTTTAAATTAGTTATTTTAATAAAGATATCTTATACTTTATAATTAGGAATTATTTTATTATTAATAGTTTTTAAATTTAGAGATTATAATAAAATTTTAG